AGGGAAGGGGAGAGACACACCGATTGGTTGACTCCCACATGTGCCCTGACCAGGGCTGGGGATCAAGCCCGCAGTCAAGGTACGTGCCCTTAACTGGAATCGAACCTGAGATCCTTTAGTTCGTGGGCTGACGCTCTAACCCAGCGGTTCTCAACCTGTGGGTCGAACGACCCTTTCATAGGGGTCGCCTAAGACTATCGGAAAACACACATATAATTACATATTGTTTTTGTGATTAATCACTATGCTTTAATTATGTTCAATTTGTAACAATGAAATTGGGGGTCATCACAACATGAGGAACTGTATTAAAGGGTTGCGGCACTGGGAAGGTTGAGAACCACTGCTCTAACCACTGAGAAAACTGGCTAGGGCCTCAGTTTGAGGTCTCTGTGGTACATGTTGGGTGAATGAAACCTGGGAGAAGTAAAAGAGAAAAGGTGAGATTTGAGCTGGACCTTGAGTGGGAAGAAGGGAAGTGAAGAAATAGGGCACAGAGTGTTTCACTCACTAGGAAAAGCATGTGCAAGGGCCCTGGGGCAGAAATGCCTGAGTGTCTTCTAAGAATAAGAGAACCAACCCCTCACCTCCATCTCCAGCTTAGCAATTACAAGCACTAAGTTAAATTTGCCCTACCCATTGCTTCTTATAATCTCCTACCCACGCATCATATAATTTCATCAGTAAGAATTTCATAAATACTGCCAGTGGATTACAAAGCTTTATTTTTATTTTGAAATAATTTAAAGGTTATAATATATTGCCAGAATAGTACAGAGAACTCCCATATACCCAGACTCTCCATTGTGTATATTTTACCACTTTGGTGTGACTTTTCCGTCTCTCTATTTGAGAGTAAGTTACAGGTCTGATGTCCATTCATCCCTTAGTGCTTGGAGTGCATTTCCTAAACACAAGAACAATCCGTGAGCTTCACGTTGACCCCACGGTCTTAGCTAACCTTCCTATTCAGATTATTAGAATTCTTTTTTAAAAAAAAAAATATACATTTTTATTGATGTCAGAGAGGAAGGGAGAGGGAGAGAGAGAAGAAACATCAATGATGCAAGAGAATCACGGATCAGCTGCCTCCTGCACGCCCCCGACTGGGGATCGAGCCCACAACCCACACATGTGCCCTGACTGGCGATGGAACCGTGACCTCCTGGTTCATAGGCCGATACTCAACCACTGAGTCCCGCTGGCTGGGCAGATTATGCCAATTCTTGTCATCACAGGTCCTTGGCCACACTGGATTTAGTTGGGGATCCCCCCGGAAGCAGACCCCAGGTGAGGCTGGAGTGCAGGGTGTGTGGGAGGCGACCCCGGGAGTGCTGCCCTGGGGGTGGGGGTGGGGGTGGACAGGCAAGGCAGCTGGTGGAGGGCATCACTGAGCAAATTACCACAGGGGCACGGGGGCGCTAGTCCCGAGGAACTCTGGGAGTCAGAGACAAATGTGTGCCTCACGGTGACCCCCACCCAAGAGGTGGGGGAGAGCCAATGGCTTTAATTTTAAAATACTTTCAACTTTATGTTAAAAATGAAAATTAAGACTTTTTTTTTAAACATAAAAACTGCCATTCGGCCTTCTAAAAAATGTAACGGTCATTTTTTACTACTACTCCTGCTACTGAATACCCAAGCCCGATCTGAATTCACCCCATTGTCCCCAAATGTCTTAGTACAGTTGGTTTGTTCACGCCACGCTCCGGACGAGGCCCACGCATTACCTCTGGTTTCCTGGAGGGCAAGACTCCTGCCTCTTGTTCACGCCTCCATCCCAGCACCTGAATCTGTGCCTGGCCCTCGCCGGTTGGCTCAGTGGGTAGAGCATCGGCCTGAGGACCACAGAGTCCCGGGTCCGATTCTGGTCAAGGGCACGCACTTCGGTTGCAGGCTCCTCCCCAGCCCGAGCCCCGACAGGGCTTGTTCAGGAGGCAACCCACTGATGTGGGAGGATGTTTCTGTCTTTCCCTCTCTTGTCCACTCGCCCTAAAAACCACTGGAAAAATATCCTCAGGTGAGGATTCACAACAACAACAAAAAGTAATAAATAAAACAATTAAAATGATTAGCAAAAAGATAAACCAAAAACTGTGCCTGTTGCCAGGAGATAGGTCAAAATGAGCAAGTTGCTGCCGTTATCATTATCACTATCACCCTTATCATCACCATCATCACCACCACCATCCCTATTATCATCATCTTCACCATCATCACCATCATCATCAACTTCACCATCATCAAACATCATCTTCACCATCGATATAACCATCATCATCATCTTCACCATCGATATAACCATCACCATCATCATCTTCACCATCATCACCATCGATATAACCATCATCATCATCATCTTCACCATCATCACCATCGATATAACCACCATCATCATCATCTTCACCATCTTCACCATCGATATAACCATCATCATCATCATCACTTCCATCACTGTCATCATCATGCACGCCCCCGACTGGGCCATCATCACCATCATGGCCATCATCACCATCATAGTCTTCATCACCATAACATCGTTATCACCACCACCATCACCAACAACATTTCATCTTGAAATGTTGACTCTTGGGCCTGAGCCCAGACCTCCTAAATCTGCATCATTGGCCTCCCTGGTGGATTCTGACACAAGGAGAGTTGGGGATTCCCTCGGCTAGTGAACACGGTGGAGGAAGTAGGGGTCTCTCTACGCCCAAGGAAACGAGGTCCTATAGGCAGCAAGGATCCGCAGAAGGTGTTTGAGGAAAGGAGCGTCCCCCGTAGACTCTCAGAGCTGGGTTGGTTCTTAGAGAACCAGCCATTCATTCATCTATGTATTGATCAACTAGAGGCCCGGTGCACGGATTCATGCACCGCTGGGGTCCCTCCGCCTGGCCTGCACCCTCTTGCAATCCGGGACCCCTTGGGGGATGTCGGAGAGCCAGTTTCAGCCCGATCCCCACAGGCCAGGCCGAGGGACCCCACCAGGCCTCTAATATGCATATAAGATCTTTGGTTAACCTCTTCCTGTCCTCCCCCTCCTCCCTTCCCTCTGAGATTCATCAGCCCGTTGCATGTTTCCATGCCTGTGCGTTGAGCATCTGCCCCCGGGTGGTCATTATGCATCATAGCTACCGGCCGGTCGGCCGGTCCCTTAGGCTTTTATATATATAGATACATAGACCTGGGTGGGTGTCAGGCAGTATTCTAGGTGCCAGGGATTCACCACATGGTCTTTGCCCTTGGGGCAGTCATAGCTGTGGGGCAGTCAGACGTTATTCAATCAGTGCAGATGTGAGCTTATGGGGGGTGTTTTGCGCCAAACGGATGTGGTTCTGGGAGATGTGTGACAGGGAGCCTGGCTTGTTCGGGGGATCAGGGTGGGCTTCCTGGAGGAAGCAAATGACGGGCAGCGTTAGCTAGAGGGGTGGTGAAGGGGACGCTCCAGATCCGGTGTCCAAAGGGCGGGGAGGGGAGGGAGAGTCAGGCCAATACGAGTGCGGCGGGCCCTGGATGGAGCCGCACGGAGGTGCGGGTGCGAGTGTTCCTGGCAGAGGGAACAGCCGGTGCGAAGGCCTGGCAGCGAGAGCGGGTTTGGTGCCGCTGAGGGGCTGAGTGGAGGCGGGAAGGGGTGGCCCAGGGAAGGGTTGAGGGGGCAGGTCACATGGGGCCTTGAGGGCCATGCCAGGTGCCTGGTCTTTATCTCAAGAGCACTAGGGAGCCATGGAAGGGATCTGAGCCAGAAAGCGATGGCTCAGAGGAGGGATGAGGGAGAGGGAGGCTCAGGGAGATCCCAGGGCTCCGTCTGCAGCTTGAGAAGCGGGGTGGGCGTGGGCCCCACGTCCGAGGCTCGGAACCAGGGAGAGAGGCAGGTTTTCGGAGACAGCGGGGTGATTCCTGCCCTTGAGACACTGCGATGGAGAGGCCCAAGAGTGGGGGCTCTGAGGGAGATTTAGGAGTTGCTGGTGGGAAACCAACAAAGTAGGGGCTCCCCCGGCAGAGCTGGGAGAGTGGGAAGGACCCAGGACCCCCAACATTAGAGGAAACGGAGTCGGGCCAGAGCGAGGCCTCGGGGCATCCAGGAAAGCCGGCTCCCTGTGGGGTGTGGACGGGAGAGAGGGGGGGCAGGCCAGTGAGTCCAGCAGGTCCTTGATGTAGTTCCTAGGTGACCTTGGCGGGAGGGGGGCAGGGAGGACGTGGTCGCGGAATGTGTGAGGCTGGGAAGGGAATGCGGGACAGGGGGCGGGTTCCTGGGGGAGAGGCTGGAGGATTAGAATTCCACCCACCTCCAAGGCCCACACACGCATGCTGTATCCTAAGGTTCTTGTCCTGGAGTTGTCAGAAATTCTTACTCGGTTACAGTTTTGGTCTCGGACTGCTTGGCCGGTCAGGTGTCATGTGACCCTCTGTGTACATCACTCGCCCTTCGGTTCCTAAATGAGCTAATCTGCATAAACTGCTGAAACCGGGGCCAGGCACAGAATAGATCCTCAATGAATTCAGTCCTTTATTCAAAGGGTATTTATTGAGCACCTACTATGTGCAAGGCACCAT